CATTCTGGTCCAAGGAGACATTGTCTTTTCACACTACCTGGGTCAACACACTCCCCATTCAGGCATCGGTTTATACCTTTTAATGCCTTCAATCCTAGCCACCACTTCTTCGTGCCAGTAGGGAAGGCGTTAAATTGGGAGACCGGCCACCCTCCAAATATTTGGGGTTTTTTGCTTTTACGCTGTCCCATCCAGAGCCTGCTTGGCCGAAAACTGACATCTTTCATAATTTAAATGTGCCGTGATAAAGTTTCTCAATCCCAGTAAAACTGTAAGTTCCTATTGGTAAAGTGCAGCTTCATATGGTTGCCACAGTTTCCACACTACAGACCTCCACAGACATGAGGGCATGATGAGCTAACCCTCTCCTTGCTGGTTTCTTCACAGAAACCATTTAAATGCCCACAGTGTGGGAAGAGCTTCTGTTAATTTAAATGTGCCGTGATAAAGTTTCTCAATCCCAGTAAAACTGTAAGTTCCTATTGGTAAAGTGCAGCTTCATATGGTTGCCACAGTTTCCACACTACAGACCTCCACAGACATGAGGGCATGATGAGCTAACCCTCTCCTTGCTGGTTTCTTCACAGAAACCATTTAAATGCCCACAGTGTGGGAAGAGCTTCTGTGAAAGAAAAGAAGTTTGTACCTATAAATCAATCTGCCCAGGTGAGAAACCATCTAAATGCTTGGAAGGTGGAGGGTAAGATACTGGGATCCATCTTTGACATGAATACCCACATCATATCATCTTAAAAACAGAAGAGCTGGAAGCAACACTGTAGATCATGGAATCCATCCCCTCTCAAGGAGGCAGAAGTGGGGAATCGAACTCCCAACCTCTGGCTCCGGAGCCTGAGCCCTAAACCCTTGAGCTGCCCAGTAGTTTTATATGTGTACATTGGGAAATGGTGCCAGCTTTCCCTCTTCCTCCTGCAAAGCTCACTATAATAATTTCCTCTTAAAATTGCTCTCTATCAATTTAATATTTCAAATAAAATATGGTTTTCTTTAAAAACCCTGTGGAAACCTCAGGACCTCCTAAAAATAGAGGACTGCTCTCCTATGTAACTTGCTTGTGACTTGGGGGGAACCATTTAGCTTCAAAAATCAAGTTGGGAGCTTGGGGGGGGGAGAAGTAGTTTCCTGTATCTACACATGTACACACCTGGGTCACCTTTTCTCCAAAAGGAGGTGAATTAGTTCCAGATACAAAAACTTTTTAAAAATGAAACGATAAATACAGTGGTGCCTCGCAAGACGAATTTAATTCGTTCCGTAGTTAATGTCGTCTTGCGAAAAATTCATCTTGCCAAACGTGTTATCCCATAGGAATGCATTGAAATCTAATTAATGCGTTCCTGTGGGCAAAAAAAAAAAAAAAAAAAAAAAAGTCAAATTTGGTTTACAAAGGGTTCATTAAGTGCTCTTTAAAGCCATACGTATTTTGCAGGTTTCAAAAATTTAAATTAAAAAACCTTTTAACTTTTTAAACATCATAGAAAAAGATTTAAAAGTCAGCAGACACGAGGAAAGTATGTCTGCCTTCACTGAAACTGAAGAGAAACAGTCACTAATAGTCCTTGGATTGTGCAAAACTCTTCAGAAAGTGCATTTTCAAGACATGTAAACGTACAGAAACCAACAGTACAGAAACTTTTTACATTTCACGTTTTTAAGTGTACCAGTGAGGCTGAAGTCTCCAAACCACCAGGACCAGTGTTTTTAAGTCCGGAAACTGGAGGCAGACAGAGTTGTCTCCACATCACAGCAGCAGTCTTTTACGTTCCCAGAGCTGTGGAGGGTCTCTCTGGCGATGGCCCAAACGATGGTCAACTGGGTGAAGGCCTTAATGCTTGACTTCAAGGCTTTTAAGAGGACGAGGAGGAAGAAGAAGGCAACTGGGCACCGCTGGTAGAAGCAGCAGGTTCCTCTTCCTGTTT